GGAATAAGGCGACAAAGTCACTGTTTTTGTCTTAGGGGTTGTCCCTGTACCTTCTGGCGGTAGAGTGAGTGGAGGAACTTTGAATTTCACATCCGGTTTGGTTTCCTTCGAATGAACAATGTAGTCCTTGATCCATTTGTCTAGTTCAGCTGGGTTATCTCCCTTAGGATGGAGTCCCATGGCCTGAAATGTTTTGAACATCTGGTCGTAGACAATCTTATCCACAGGTTGTGAAGTAGTGGTAGGACTTGTAGGTTGGGTTGTAATAGGACTTGTAGGTTGGGTTGTAATAGTGTCCTGTTTGTCCGCCATGATGATTTCTGTATAATAATATAAGTCACAAAATGAAAATCAATATTTACAACAACAAAAATAATCACAAACTATTTACAAAATACAAAGCATATGATCTTCCATAGTCTTGGACGATGATTACCGGTATGAAATCACATGTAATGACAAAAATCAATATGCTTACCTATTCCACAATTCTCTTCAATTAATGGAATAATCAGCTGCTCGTCAAGTAGCCGTAAGCAAAACATGAAGAAAAAAATTGAAATGCGCAAAACTCTACGTCAACGATCTACTATTACTACTATATGCACGATACAGGAATAGTCTTATGTACTAAGTTTTTTTTTAAAAATATAATTTCACATTACATAATAGATCTGGTCACTCTGGATAGGCTGAATATAAACACAAACTCTAAACCTTCAAACTCAAATACGATCACAAAAATAAAATATAAATCCTCACCAAATGTAATCAAATATACCAATCAAAGAAACTTCCACTGACCTAGATGATAACCTGATCACTACCAAATAAACTAACTGATGTCACAAACCTCTAAGTTTTTCTTCACATAATTACAAGAAAGTAATAGAAGTATGGAATGTGCAAGGGTAGAGTTAATCAGAAAGACTGTTAATTCAGAAAAGCATGCAATTACATATTCAACGACTCGTTCACTACTCAATTACAATTTAACTCTAAATTATCTTTAGTTATTTATGTCAAATTATCTAAACTGAAATTGAAATATCAAATAAAAATTTAAATAACTTTAAATTAAATGGGATATATGTATACTTTCAAAATAATATGGAGGAGAAAAAAAAAACTTCCTAAATTAAAAAAAATAAATGCACAAACTGAAAAAAAAAATGTAAACAAAAAGAAAATAAAGTGTTTCAAGATTTGTTTACACTAACTACCCTCACTTCCGGATCCGGTAACCTTGACCTTGTAGTAAATGTATGTCTGTATGTGTATATAAGTATAAAGTACCAACGACAGACACAAGTGATAAATATAAACAAACAAACAGAATAAATTGAGTTCAATGAATAATAAACACAAAAACTGCTGAAATCCCTGAAAAAAAAAATCGAAATTTGTTTCGAAAAGAGTCAGAAATATTCACTTTCACAAAAGCAAAACTGTAAACAAATCAAGTCTAATTTCAGTGCATGTTTCCGAGTAATGTCACTACTGCAAATAAATGTTTCATACAGCTTCACAAACGGAAATAATTGTCCGCAAATATCAGGAACATGTCAACTTGTAAAGAAATATAACTGCTGTAGAATGAAACAAGTCAAAAAGTTTTATTTTCAAACCTCAATCAGCTGTCCAGTGGAAAAGTTGTGGTTTTTCACGTGTACCAAATCACAACCGGAAGTAAACACAGAAAAGGAAGTCGTAGAATTTTCACTGTGGAACTTATGTTTCCGGAAATGAAAAATGGGCGTTGTCACACCAAGTAATCACAATTCCGTTGGGCGCCATTGAAACCGGGTGGAAATACACAACAAAACACATTCCATCTGGTTAAATACGTGGGTTTATTGTGATGGTGCAATCTTGCCCATTATAGATGTATGGTAAAGATAGATGACCCTGTAATTACGTATTAAAATTATAAATACAAGAACAATAACTCTGCATGCAAATTTTCACAAGCAAAGCAGTTTTAACATAAAATAAAACCAAAATTTCCAATGTAAACTATTATCCTTTTTAACAACAATGTTTGTCATAAACTCATTATTAATAAGCTTAGAATATTCATAGTTTCTGATGAACACAAACTAGGTAAATTTTAAATAACAGATAACCTCATGCAAAACTCTCAAATTACATGAATTGAACAAATAAAGAAAAATGAGTTTAAATACTTTCAAAAATAGCTTATAATTCATCAATATTTAAAAATGATGCTGTGTTCATTTTTATATCAACACACAGTTAACCTTACCTCCCATGAGGTGCAAAGGTCTGCTACAGTATATATACAAAACTCAGCTGTCTCAATAATATGGTACGTGTTCTAAATGTAAAAAATGATATACTGCTCAATGTAGGGAATTATTTAGAAAAATGAATACTTTAGGAATTTGTTTACTTCAAAACTTTATAACTTAAAAACACTCATTTTCTCCATTCTAATTTTAGCAAATTATTTAGAAATAAAATAAACTTTATTTAATGCTATTATATTTACATTACTTATTTACAGCTTTCACACAAATCTCACACAAGACATTCACTCCCTAGCATACTCAGTCTAACATTCAAACATTCACACAAAGTAGATAAAGTAGGGAAAATAAAGAAATGTGAAAACCTAAACTAAACACTAACCTGGTAATGGAATAATCTAAGTCCATACTTATTTCAAACTAGGAATATCAAGTACTGATCAAACCAAAACTTCTAAAAATGTCTCAGAACATACACACCCATCAGAACGCTTGGGCATGAAAAACAAGAATAGAATTCCCTCCTAAAATCACCTGACCAATCCAGAATGACCACTATCTAACCAGATCTATAAATAACTACAAATCTACAGGTAAACCCAAAAGATAACTAAATACTTTACCTGTAAGACTTCATAAATGATAAAATAACAAAACACATACTTTAATTTATAGTTTGAATGAAATAAATCTTTATTTAAATATTTCAATTTAAACTCTGAAAATGATCATAAAATCAAAGAAAATACCTGAAAAATAAATTCATTAAAAACATGTAAAATTTCACTCTATTACAAAACTACATAGAACATGCCTACCATGAATATATATGACGTACTTAGAACAAAACTATAAAAAAAAAAAACAGGGAGGTAATAAAACACCTAATCATCGCCACTTCAACATACTTAAAAAATGACCACCAAAAAGTGCTGCCTCTGCTCAAATTGTAATTTTGCATAAAAATATCTTAACATATTTTCCACTTTTTAATTGATGGGTTAGCTTAGGTTAGGCAGAAATGCCTTTGTAAATATTTTTTTTTCTAGTTGACAAATTCATAACACGTGCGTTTAGAATGATTTTTGTTTACATTTCAAGTTGTAACAGATAGAAACTGAGTAAGAGTAGCTTTCTGTGAACCTACAAAAATTATATTTACCTTGCTCGGACAATGTCATTCAGCAGGGAAGTATTACAAGTATAACTCATGACCCGATGTTTTGTTTGTCTTTTCAAAAGCAATATCAACAATTCAGAACTTAGGGTTATCGTTCTTTATCTACCCCTAGCGGCCGGCAGAAATGCTACAGACCTCATATGACAAACACTAGCCAACACCCAGTATAAATAACTGACCAGACTAATCAAACGGGTTCGACGAGTATACGTTGATAAAAATAGCAACAAGTACAACTCAGTGACCAATAGTGCGCAAATGAAAGTAGAGGTACTGTAAGCAATGAGCTCACTAAATGATACCCCCAGCCTCCCATAATGTCCATGTGTTGCTATATATTGTTTTACGGTAATGTGTAAAAGGAATAACTCGTCCTATCAAATGTTATCCAGAAGCTTCTATATGTGACGTCATAGGTAAACATATAATGGCAATGTCCATGTTTTGCTATGGGAAACTTAAAATACGTGTCGAATAAAAAAGTAAAATAGGAGATGCACAATGGCAATAAAGATTCTGTGAAAGTTTCATTAACTTTCACTCAGTAGTATAAGAGGAGATGCGGATAAGAGATAAAGCGTAACAGACGGACGGACGTACAAACGGGAAATACCGATTACTATATACCCTCCCACTTTTCAAGCGGGGGGTATAATAAACGATAACTCAAAATGCCCGAATAAAGATAACTCTTACCAATACTGTACAATAACCTAATATCAAACATTGACATAATGTCACTTGTGACAATCAGTTTTATCACAATGTAATGATAATAGAGTGTTTTCCATTGAGGTGATTTGAGCAAAAGTTATTCCCTATGGCTGCCATATTGTAGGTCAACATTCCAAGATCCCTTCATTAGTCAACCAAGTTAAATTTGTGTATACTGCCTACTGAGGTAAAGATAACACTTTTTTTCTTATGAATATATATACGATTGTTAAAGACTATATTTCCCCCCCCCCCCCCATATATTTCTTGCATGCATGTTTAAAATTTGTTGCTTAAAGCTGAACACTACTCGTAAATAAGCATAGTCCGCCATATTTCTCGTTCTTCAACGTTCTCCCTACAACTCGTATATAAGGAGCAGATCGCAAGTTAGTTCAATGTATTTCACTATAGAGATCCGACGAGTGTAGACGTACAGCTGACAAAGCGTGCTACTCAATATCGATGAAATTATCAAATTTTATGTATTTTTCCACAACAGGACAAAGGTATCATGGAAAACACAGGTCAATACATTATTTACAAACAGAAAATGCACATAAAAACAAGAAATAAACGCAAAAAATCTAAGACCACGATGGGAGTACTACATGTCGGCCACGAGTTTCGAGTGTGCAATCGGGTGTAACGAAAGCGAACGGTTTATATACCCTGACAGTGCCTATTTATGAGAAGTGTTCAGCTTTAAAGAGAAACATCTACTACTTTGCCCTTCAATATGGCGGCCAAGGGAGATAATTTAATCAACAGGCAAAATACTTCATAGGAAAATTGTTTTTTAATACTTGTCTACCTATTCTTTTAATGTCTTGCAGAATTTCGTCTGATTCACGGTGCATAACAGTTAATCTTACAGGTAAGCAAAATACATCAGATATCAAACGATATTTACAAAAAAATTGACATTATGTAAAATGTCATACACGTAATTTATCGTTGTAAGAATTGAAATAGAAATATGCATGATTACAACTTTACCTGGGTTGATTGAATATTGTTTAACGCCCCTCTCGAGAATTATTTCACTCATATGGAGACGTCACCACTTGCCAGTGGAGAGCTGCAAATTTTGTCCTAAACTCGGCACTTAGTGCATTGAGCAGCGAGGGACCTTTTTCGTGCCAGCACCTATTGCGACACGGGAACTAGGTTTATACGGACCGGTCTCCAAGTTCTACTGTGGGATTCAAACCAGCGACGTAAGGATAAAATCCTAACTATGCAACTCTAAAGCAGACGCACTAACCACTGAGCCTAACCTTGATTGAATAAAATGATATAATCAGAATTTTTTTCAAAAACACAAAGGAAAAGAGCAAATAAACACAGAAAAATTGTATATAAACATCTGTTCATTCTGAGTTTATTTTTTAAATTTCATTTTCGAATCTGTCTCAGAAGATAAACAGAAGAACAAAAACTTAAAAGTTAACAATAGTTTAAATTCATATGATTCAACAATTAGTCTTACAATTGTCAGCTAGAAAATCGCAGAACAATCTCACAATGGCATCACAGCGCACAACACTTTATCGAATAAAAAACACAGAAATCAAAGAAAGGAAGAGTAATTTTTAGAAATTCAAAGTCTAATGGCTGGATGTAGTAGTCATCATTTTCGATTTTTTTTATACATATCATTAGATTTGTTCTCGTCAAAATCTAAACATAATAATAAATTTCTTCTTTTAAGGCAAATTTTCTAACATCTTCTTTTTCTATTTACTTTATGCATTACTTTTTTTTTTATAGATGATGAATGTGTAGAAAATCCGTGTCAAAACAATGGAACGTGTGTGGACCTCATCAATGATTACAATTGCAGTTGTGAGGCAGGATTTATTGGAACAAACTGCGAGGAGAGTAAGTAAATTGATACCATTACGACAAAAGAAATTATTTATTACATTTAAGATCTTGCAATGATGTAGATGGTTCTTTCAATAAGAAGTGTTTATAAAGTGGTACATTTAGCTTGAAAGAAAATCTATGCTTCAGAACATTTTATATCCGATGGAGCAAAAATGAATTGGCATGAATACAAAAATTATTACAGATATTGATGAATGTTCTGATAGTCCTTGTCAGAACAATGGAACGTGTGTGGACCTCGTCAATGGTTATGAGTGTAACTGTGTTCCTGGATTTAATGGAACCAATTGCGAAGAGGGTAGGTAAATCGAAATGATATGAAATGACGATAAATAAAACTATTTTTCCAAATTAGTCCTCCTTAACCTAGAGCATTTGTTACAGATATTGACGAATGTGCTGAAAATCCATGTCAGAACAATGGAACATGCCTTGATCTGATCAATGATTACCAATGTAACTGTGTTGCAGGATTCAATGACACTAATTGTACAAACAGTAAGTTATGACTGTAAAGTAGGGATGTCGACGAATATTCGAGTACTCGACTATCGTTTGATCATACCGACTGTCGCCTAAAATTTCTTTAGTCGATTATTCGTTAAAATGTGTTTCATCCAAGTGATTTTGAATTCAAGACAATAAATTTATATTTGCTTATTTCATTTATTTATAGATCAATATTTTCATATGTAAAATTAAGGGTATGGTATAACTGTTCAAAGGAAATTATTTGTGCTTCGATGTATGTTCGACAAACATGTCTTCAAAATATACAGTTTTGGTATAGTTTTAAAAAAAGAAACAGTGTTATCAAGGTTATGTTAAACAAAACTGGTATTCTGCAGTGTAACATCAAACATGATGTATCATATGCCGAATCAATCAAACATATACACAGTCTTCAAGTGAAATTTTCCTAAAGTAAGTTCTCCGCAAAAATGCCAAAAAAATAAGATTGGAAAGAAAATTCAACATGTTTATAAATGATTGTCTACCTCTTACTGTTTTAAATGGAGAGGGCAATTGTTTAATTTTGTAGATTCAAACTATAAGTTCTGACGTGATACAAATCTTCAGAAAGAATATAATTAAACAGCTAATACAAAATTATAAATACACGTAAATTGGGGTCAGGTATGAGAGTAATTGAACCGTGTTTTCTTTTTCTCATATTAATTTCATACAATCATTGATTGTTTTCACAAAATTTCATAATTAAAATTTATCCCAAGCTCTCTCTCTCTCTCTCTCTTTGTTTTTATAAGCGACACCCTTTAATTGTTAACCTGTCAAAGATCATTGACGGACAAGTAGAATTGGCTTCAGTTATGGGGTACAAGTACTACCGTTATGTAAAGAAAGGACAAATACGAGCGTTCAATAACCTGCGTTTAGATAAAATGTGCAGCTAATATATTAATTTTGAAATTAAATACATTGGATACATATTGATGTTCAGTTTTTATTGTACTACGTACATGTTTACAATTCAAAAATTCGTTATATATATAATGGTGATAGCATAGATTATAAGATATTGTAAACTAGTCTGTGAAAGACTAACAGTGAAGATGATATTGAAAATGATTCAAATTAAACGAATATTCGACTATCGTTCGACTAAAGAATCCGACTATTCGACTAAGCTGTCCGAGTAAAATTGACATCCCTACTGTAAAGAGAATTAAGATTTTTCAAAGGAAACGTTGACTAAATTTTTCTGAAAAATGTCATTTTAAGTTTACTCGAAATCTATTTAAAACTTTTGGTTGCAAACTTTCATTTAATCTCACACTTATAAAAGCTGGGATGTTTTACAAATGTCTACCCAATGCGACACAGAAAATGGCATTTTTGTAAATTTGTCATAAAGTGAGAGAAAAATATAGCACAGAAAAAATAGTATTCACAAGAAGTTTAGTGTATCATTTTTCAACATGAAATTTATTTCAATCGTAGGACATGATCTTCTTATTTATTCACTACAATTGGTTATTAAAAGAGGGAGCCGAGAGAGAAACTAAAATGAATATTACACGAAAACAAATTTTTTTCACAAAAGTTTAATCTGTCATTGTTGCTCATTGAATTCATAAAACTCGTGGGACAGGCTACTTTAGTTTTGTACTAAGTGCTGTGCTTTACACTCATGAAATTAAAACAGATAATCTACTGTAACTACTGAAATATCTTTTTCGTGGGTTAATATACATTTTTCATTCCACTGTCATTCCGGGACATTTTCCTTTGTCTTCCTGATTCTATCGTAGGATCTTCTGTCTTTGGTTCTGACAACCCTTCCCCTTAGCCTTGACGTCTCCTGACATCATCCCTGTAAACCCTGTCCACTCCCTTAGGTCTCCTGAATGTCTCTGTCTATCCCCAATATCCTCTGACTAAGTGTCTTACGTCCCTGACCTCATTAAGTCATCACTTGGGATTTTTTCTTCCAAGCCATCCGATTTGTACACGTAAAATTCCAAAGAAGCCTTTTCCAACCGTACAATAAATTTCTTTTCGAAAGACACAGTTTTAAATATCCTGTATTTCAAATTCTCGTGAGAGTTTTTAAAAGCTGTTCCTAGTAGTGAAATAAATTATCGATCCCATTGAAACGCACTGACTCTTCTCTATTTCAAATTTATATTTTATGCATTATTTTTGTCATAGATATTGATGAATGTGCTGAAAATCCGTGTCAAAACAATGGAACGTGTGTGGACCTCATCAATGATTACAATTGCAGTTGTGAGGCAGGATTTAATGGAACAAACTGCGAGGAGAGTAAGTAAATTGATACCATTACGACAAAAGAAATTATTTATTACATTTAAGATCTTGCAATGATGTAGATGGTTCTTTCAATAAGAAGTGTTTATAAAGTTGTACATTTAACTTGAAAGAAAATCTATGCTTCAGAACATTTTATATCCGTTGCAGCAAAAATAAATTGGCATGAATACAAAAATTATTACAGATATTGATGAATGTTCTGATAGTCCTTGTCAGAACAATGGAACGTGTGTGGACCTCATCAATGGTTATGAGTGTAACTGTGTTCCTGGATTTAATGGAACCAATTGCGAAGAGGGTAGGTAAATCGAAATGATATGAAATGACGATAAATAAAACTATTTTTCCAAATTAGTCCTCCTTAACCTAGAGCATTTGTTACAGATATTGACGAATGTGCTGAAAATCCATGTCAGAACAATGGAACATGCCTTGATCTGATCAATGATTACCAATGTAACTGTGTTGCAGGATTCAATGACACTAATTGTACAAACAGTAAGTTATGACTGTAAAGTAGGGATGTCGACGAATATTCGAATACTCGACTATCGTTTGATCATACCGACTATCGATTAAAATTTCTTTAGTCGGTTATTCGTTAAAATGTGTTTTATCCAAGTGATTTTGAATTCAAGGCAATAAATTTATATTTGCTTATTTCATTTATTTATAGATCAATATTTTCATATGTAAAATTAAGGGTATGGTATAACTGTTTAAAGGAAATTATTTGTGCTTCGATGTATGTTCGACAAGCATGTCTTCAAAATATACAGTTTTGGTATAGTTTTAAAAAAAGAAACAGTGTTATCAAGGTTATGTTAAACAAAACTGGTATTCTGCAGTGTAACATCAAACATGATGTATCATATGCCGAATCAATCAAACATATACACAGTCTTCAAGTGAAATTTTCCTAAAGTAAGTTCTCCGCAAAAATGCCAAAAAAATCAGATTGGGAAAGAAAATCAAAGATGTTTATAAATGATTGTCTACCTCTTACTGTTCACTACTGAATTAAATATCCCCTTAGATTCCAAAAAATCCCCTGTTGTCCCCCTGTCAGTCCCTGACATTTTCCTGTCTCTCCCTGACTTTCTCCTATGATCCCCTGTCGTTGTCCCTGCTCTCCCTGTCCAGTCCCTGTCGTCCCCTGTCGTTGTCCCTGCCTTCCCTGTCTATCCCTGTCAGTCCCCTGAATTCTCTGATCTCCCTGTCCAGTCCCTGTCGTCCCCTGTCGTTGTCCCTGCCTTCCCTGTCTACTCCCTGTCGTCCCCTGACATTTATTTTGGCCAAGAAAAGGAGTTTGAAAAATATTTTTGTTGCATTTAAGAGTGAAAAAAAGTTATAGTCTTGAAAACTTTAAAGTTTTTTTTTTGAAAATATAGACTCAGTAAAAAATTAACACATTTTTAAATGCCTTACCAAATCCCCTCTCTCTCTCTCTCTCTCTTGTATCAATGTGATTTTTTTTTATTTGGTAGCATTTCTCTGAAGGGCAGAGAATTGCATCATTATAAATAAGAAATAAATTAGCAATTTATTTCATCTTGTGATGCTAGACGGCTTATACATTGTACTTTATGGACCTTTTATATATATTTATAACTTTTTCATTTTTTATCTGATCTACTTTGAAACATCTTTGAGCGTAATAACTGTCTTTGTAAAAGAACTAGATTTAAACATTTGAGAATACATTATCAAATCCATGCATGGGATATTTTGTTTTACCAAAGAATTAAAAAAAATTAATTGAAAGGAATGATATATGAATGCATTAATAAAATAAAAGTCTATTTAATAAATAAAAGTTATTAAATAAACTATAGATACACATGTATATTTTATTAATTTATTTTCTTATGTGAATAAATCTACAACTCGACTGAATTAAGAATGAATGAATAAATAGATAAATAAATAAATAAATAAATAATGAGAATTATATAAATCTATTCATTTATTTTTTTATTTTTTTAGTTTATCACTCATTTATATCCCCCAAAATTTGATTTATTAGTTTTATTTTATTTATTTGCTGAAATATGCTACAAAGTATTTTATTAGCATATTTAAACGACTTTTTATTACTTTAAGTCCATCATGGATATCAAAATAATCGTCTCATTATGCACAATATTAATCCGTCAATAAGATTTCTGATACTTTGTTTTGATTAAAAAATCGGTTTTCAAAACTCTAACACGGTTCTGAAACAACATCAAAGCCATTGATGTTTACCAGTAATTAACTCGGGGTACACAGTCATGACACCTATTATTTTTTTCACTGACCGCTATACCTTGTTTATATTGTGACAGGACGACCGTGTGTAGTTTGCAGCTGTTTGAAATAACATTTTCTTTTTGTATGAGAACTCAATTTTTTTTCAATCAAAACAAAATAAAAGTATCAAAGAAGCTATTGACGGGTTAAGATTGTGCATAATGAGACGATTATTTTGATATACATCATGGAAGTAAAATAATTAAAAGCAGATTTAATATGCTTCAAGAATACCTTGACACACATTTTTGTGTAAATAGTTTAACATAAAATAGGCCAAAAAAAATCCCATTTTCGGGTATTTGTTATTTAATTTGTTTGTATTGTCAATTTTAAAAATAAAAAAGATTGTTTTTATCACAATTAAATACATGCAGTTAATAAGTTTTTTCTTTTTTGTTTACTAACTATTTAAAATCAATTATTGTATTGATTTTAAAGAATTGATTATTCTAAAATGCACCAATAACCCCTGCTGTCTTTCCCTTTTTTTTCTTTTTTGTACAAATGGTACAAAGTCAAACCAGTACTTAACGAATAAAACAGATTACATCGAAATAAATTCATAGTAAATAAATAAAATAAAGTAAATGAATAATATAAAAAAAAAAATATTAATCTATTTATTTATGAAATTGAAAATACAACAAATTAATGAATCATTTATATCTTCAAGAAATTGTGTTTCTTTAGTTTTATTTTATATAAACACTTGCATCCCTAGATGTTCTACAAGGTATTTTATTAGCGTATTAAAACGACTTTTTATTATTTTAAGTACATGATGGATATCAAAATAATCGTCTCATTATGCACAATATTAATCGTCAATTAACCGTCAATTTGATTTTTGATACTTTGTTTTGATTGAGAAAATCGGTTTTCAAAACCCTAACACGGTTCTGAAACAACATCAAAGCCATTGATGTTTACCAGTAATTAACTCGGGGTACACAGTCATGACACCTATTATATTTTTCACTGACCGCTATACCTTGTTTATGTTGTGTTCAAGTGACCGTGTACAGTTTGCAACTGTTTGAAATAACATTTTCTCTTTGTAGGAGAACATAATTTTTTTTTTCGATCAAAACAAATAAAAGTATCAAAGAAGCTATTGACGGGTAAGGATTGTGCATAATGAGACGATTATTTTGATATCCATCATGGAAGTAGAATAATTAAAAGCAGATTTAATATGCTTCAAAAATACCTTGACACATATTTTTCCGTCAATCGTTTTACATAAAATAAGCCCCAAAAAAATCCCATTTCGGGTATTTGTTATTTAATTTGTTTGAATTGTCAATTTTAAAAATAAAAAAGATTGTTTTTATAATAAATAAATACATGCAGTTAATAAGTTTATTTATTTATTTGGTTTTTTTTTTTTGTTTACTAACTATTTAAAATCAATTATTGTATTTATTTTAAAAACTTAATTATTCTAAAATGCACCAATACCCCCTGCTGTCTCTCTCTCTTTTTTCTTCTTTTTTCTTTCTTTATTTTTTACAAATGGTAAAAAGTCAAACCAGTATTTTACGAATAAAACAGATTGCAGCGAAATAAATTCATAGTAAATTAAAAAAAATAAAATACATGAATAATAAAAAAAATATTAATTAAATATCAATCTCTTTCTTCTTTTTTTTTTTTTAAATTGAAAATAGTACAAATTAATGAATCATTCATTTTGCAAGAAATTGTGTTTTACTTTAAAATTATATAAACACTTGCATCCGTAGATGTGCTACAAAGTATTTAATTAGCATATTAAAACGACTTCTTATTATTTTAAGTACATGATGGATATCAAAATAATCAGCATATTATGCACAATATTAATCTGTCAATTTGATTTTTGATACATTGATTTGATTGAAAAAATCGGTTTTCAAAACCCTAACACGGTTCTGAAACAACATCAGAGCCATTGATGTTTACCAGTAATTAACTCGGGGTTCACGGTCATGACACCTATTATCTTTTTCACTGACCGTAACTTGTTTATGTTGTGACATGACCGCCGTGTATAGTTTGCAGCTGTTTGAAATAACATTTTCTCTTCGTATGAGAACTGATTTTTTCAATCAAAACAAAATAAAAATATCAAAGAAACTATTGACGGGTAAAGATTGTGCATAATGAGACGATTATTTTGATATCCATCATGGAAGTAAAATAATTAAAAGTAGTTTAAATATGCTTTGATACACATTCATTGTTAATCAGTTTACATAGAATGTGCGAAACAAATCCCATTTTCGGGTATATGATTATTTAGTTTGCATGTATCGTCAATTTTAAAAATAAAAACATTGTTTTTATAATGATTAAATACATGCATTTAATAAGTTTATTTTTTTTTAATTTACTAATCAATTATTGTATTGATTTAAAAAAACTAAAATATTCCAAAGTGCCCCAGTACCCCTGCTGTCTTTTTTCTTTTTTTTTATTTTCACAAAAGGTAGAAAGTCACTCCATTATTAAATGAATAAAACATGAATAAAATAAAACTCTAAAGAAATACAATTTCTTGTGGATATAAATGATTGACTAATTTGTTGTATTTTCAATTTCAAATATAAATAAATAAATTGTTTTTATTTATATTTATTTCATTAATTTTTTAAAATTTTTATTTTATTTATTTACTATTTATTTTTTTATTTTTTTTTTCTTTGCTGTAATCTGTTTTATTCATTAAATACTGGTTTGACTTTGTACCATTTGTAAGAAACAAAGTCAGCAGGGGGTATTGGTGCATTTTGGAATGTTTTAGTGTTTAAAACCAAATCAATAATTGATTTTAAATAGTTAGTAAATAAAAAAAAAATAAACTTATTAACTGCATGTATTTAATCCTTATAAAAACAATGTTTTTATTTTAAAAATTGACGATACAAGCAAACTAAATAATCAAAAACCCGTAAATGGGATTTGTTTCGCATATTCTATGTAAACTGATTTACGATAAATATGTATCAAAGTATTTTTGAAGCATATTAAAACGGCTTTTAATTATTTTACTTCCATGATGGACATCAAAATAATCGTCTCATTATGCACAATCTTTACCCGTCAATAGCTTCTTTGATAATTTTATTTTGTTTTTATTGAAAAAAAATTAAGTTCTCATACTAAGAGAAAATGTTATTTTAAACAGTTGCAAACTGTAAACAGTCACTCTGAACACAACATAAACAAGGTATAGCGGTCAGTGAGGAAGACAATAGGTGTCATGACTGTGTACCCCGGGTTAATTACTGGTAAACATCAATGGCTTTGATGTTGTTTCAGAACCGTGTTAGGGTTTTGAAAACCGATTTTTTCAATCAAAACAAAGTATTCAAAATCTTATTGACGGATTAATATTGTGCATAATGAGACGATTATTTTGATATCCATCATGGACTTAAAGTAATAAAAAGTCGTTTAAATATGCTAATAAAATACTTTGTAGCACAACAAAGTATTCAACAGTTTATGTAAAATAAATCCCCCCCCCCCCCAAAAAAAAAAAACCTCTAAAAAAGCCACTATTTCTTGCGGATATAATTGATTGACTAATTTGTTGTATTTTCAGTTTCAAATATAAATAGGGAAATAAATAAAATAAAACTAATAAAACACATTTTGGGGATATAAATGAGTGATAAATTAAAAAATAAACAAAGAAATGAATAAATTTATATAATTCTCATTATTTATTTATTTATTTATTTATTGATTTATCTATTTATTCATTCATTCTTAACTCAGTTGATTTGTATATTCATTCACATAAGAAAATAAAAGAATAAAATAGTTTTATAGTTTGTTTAATAATTTTTATTTATTAATTAGGCATTTATTTTATTAAAGCATTTATATATCATTCCTTTCAATTAATTTTTTTATTCATTTCATTCCTTGGGAAAACCAAATATCCTATGCATGGATTTGATAATGTATTCCCAAATGTTTAAATCTAGTTTTTTTTTTTACAAAGACAGTTATTACGCTCAAAGATGTTTCAAAGTAGATCAAATAAAAAATGAAAAACTTTATAAATATATATATAAAAGGTTCATAAAGCACACTGTATATGCCGTCTAGCATCACAAGATGAAATAAATTGCTAATTTACTTCTTCTTTAGAATGATGCAATTCTCTGCCCTTCTCCCCCGAAATGCTACCAAACTAAAAAAAATCACATTGATACAAGTAATAGAAACTAAATTACAGGATATTTAGTTAAGGCATTTAAAAATGTGTTAACTTTTTACTGAATTTATATTTAAAAAAAAAACTTAAAGTTTTCAAGACTATAACTTTTTTTCACTCTTAAATGCAACAAAAATATTTTTTAAACTCCTTTTCTTGGCCAAAATAAATGTCAGGGGACGACAGGGAGTAGACAGGGAAGGCAGGGACAACGACAAAAGGGACTGGACAGGGAGATCAGAAAATCAGGGGACACAGGGAGTAGACAGGGAAGGCAGGGACAACGACAGGGGACGACAGGGACTGGACAGGGAGAGCAGGGACAACGACAATCATAGGAGAAAGTCAAGAGATGTTTGATACAATGGGGATTTTTTGGAATCTAAGGGGATATTTAATTCAGTAGTGGTTTTAAATGGAGAGGGCAATTGTTCAATTTTGTAGATTCAAACTATAAGTTCTGACGTGATACAAATCTTAAGAAAGAATATAAATGAACAGCTAATACAAAATTATAAATACATGTAAATTGGGGTCAGTTATGAGAGTATTGAACCGTGTTTTCTTTTTCTCATATTAATTTCATACAATCATTGATTGTTTTCACAAAATTTCATAATTAAAATTTATCCCAAGCTCTCTCTCTCTCTCTCTCTCTCTCTCGTGCAGCTAATATATTAATTTTGAAATTAAATACATTGGATACATATTGATGTTCAGTTTTTATTGTACTACGTACATGTTTACAATTCAAAAATTCGTTATATAATGGTGATAGCATAGATTATAAAATATTGTAAACTAGTCTGTAAAAGACTAACAGTGAAGATGATATTGAAAATGATTCAAATTAAACGAATATTCGACTATCGTTCGACTAAAGAATCCGACTATTCGACTAAGCTGTCCGAGTAAAATTGACATCCCTACTGTAAAGAGAATTAAGATTTTTCAAAGGAAACGTTGACTAAATTTTTCTGAGAAATGTCATTTTAAGTTTACTCGAAATCTATTTAAATCTTTTGGTTGCAAACTTTCATTTAATCTCACACTTATAAAAGCTGGGATGTTTTACAAATGTCTACCCAATGCGACACAGAAAATGGCATTTTTGTAAATTTGTCAAAAAGTGAGAGAAAATATAGCACAGAAAAAATAGTATTCACAAGAAGTTTAGTGTATCATTTTTCAACATGAAATTTATTTCAATCGTAGGACATGATCTTCTTATTTATTCACTACAATTGGTTATTAAAAGAGGGAGCCGAGAGAGAAACTAAAATGAATATTCCACGAAAACAAATGCTTTTCACAAAAGTTTAATCTGTCATTGTTGCTCATTGAATTCATAAAACTCGTGGGACAGGCTACTTTAGTTTTGTACTAAGTGCTGTGCTTTACACTCATGAAATTAAAACAGATAATCTACTGTAACTACTGAAATATCTTTTTCGTGGGTTAATATACATTTTTCATTCCACTGTCATTCCGGGACATTTTCCTTTGTCTTCCTGATTCTATCGTAGGATCTTCTGTCTTTGGTTCTGACAACCCTTCCCCTTAGCCTTGACGTCTCCTGACATCATCCCTGTAAACACTGTTCACTCCCTTAATTAGGTCTCCTGAATGTCTCTGTCTATCCCCAATATCCTCTGACTAAGTCTCCTACTTCCCCCACCTCAGTAAGTCATCATTTGGGATTTTTGTCTTTCCAAGTCATCAGATTTGTACACGTATAATTTCAAAGAAGCCTTTTTCAGTCGTGCAATAAATTTCTTCTCGAAAGACACAGTTTTAAACATCCTCTATTTCAAATTCTCGTGAGTGTTCATAAGCCGTTCCCATTAGTGAAATAAATTATCGACCCATTGAAACGCACTGGCTATTCTCTATTTCAAATTTATATCTTATGCATTATTTTTGTCATAGATATTGATGAATGTGCTGAAAATCCGTGTCAAAACAATGGAACGTGTGTGGACCTCATCAATGATTACAATTGCAGTTGTGAGGCAGGATTTAATGGAACAAACTGCGAGGAGAGTAAGTAAATTGATACCATTACGACAAAAGAAATTATTTATTACATTTAAGATCTTACAATGATGTAGATGGTTCTTTCAATAAGAAGTGTTTATAAAGTGGTACATTTAGCTTGAAAGAAAATCTATGCTTCAGAACCTTTTATATCCGATGGAGCAAAAATAAATTGGCATGAATACAAAAATTATTACAGATATTGATGAATGTTCTGATAGTCCTTGTCAGAACAATGGAACGTGTGTGGACCTCATCAATGGTTATGAGTGTAACTGTGTTCCTGGATTTAATGGAACCAATTGCGAAGAGGGTAGGTAAATCGAAATGATATGAAATGACGATAAATAAATCTATTTTTCCAAATTAGTCCTCCTTAACCTAGAGCATTTGTTACAGATATTGATGAATGTGCTGAAAATCCATGTCAGAACAATGGAACATGCCTTGATCTGATCAATGATTACCAGTGTAACTGTGTTGCAGGATTCAATGACACTAATTGTACAAACAGTAAGTTATGACTGTAAAGTAGGGATGTCGACGAATATTCGAGTACTCGACTATCGTTTGATCATACCGACTATCGACTAAAATTTCTTTAGTCGGTTATTCGTTAAAATGTGTTTTATCCAAGTGATTTTGAATTCAAGGCAATAAATTTATATTTGCTTATTTCATTTATTTATAGATCAATATTTTCATATGTAAAATTAAGGGTATGGTATAACTGTTTAAAGGAAATTATTTGTGCTTCGATGTATGTTCGACAAGCATGTCTTCAAAATATACAGTTTTGGTATAGTTTTAAAAAAAGAAACAGTGTTATCAAGGTTATGTTAAACAAAACTGGTATTCTGCAGTGTAACATCAAACATGATGTATCATATGCCGAATCAATCAAACATATACACAGTCTTCAAGTGAAATTTTCCTAAAGTAAGTTCTCCGCAAAAATGCCAAAAAAATCAGATTGGGAAAGAAAATCAAAGATGTTTATAAATGATTGTCTACCTCTTACTGTTTTAAATGGAGAGGGCAATTGTTCAATTTTGTAGATTCAAACTATAAGTTCTGACGTGATACAAATCTTAAGAAAGAATATAAATGAACAGCTAATACAAAATTATAAATACATGTAAATTGGGGTCAGTTATGAGAGTATTGAACCGTGTTTTCTTTTTCTCATATTAATTTCATACAATCATTGATTGTTTTCACAAAATTTCATAATTAAAATTTATCCCAAGCTCTCTCTCTCTCTCTCTCTCTCTCTCTCTCTCTCTCTCTCTCTCTCTCTCTCTCTCTCTCTCTCTCTCTGTTTTTATAAGCGACACCCTTTAATTGTTAACCTGTCAAAGATCATTGACGGACAAGTAGAATTGGCTTCAGTTATGGGGTACAAGTACTACCGTTATGTAAAGAAAGGACAAATACGAGCGTTCAATAACCTGCGTTTAGATAAAATGTGCAGCTAATATATTAATTTTGAAATTAAATACATTGGATACATATTGATGTTCAGTTTTTATTGTACTACGTACATGTTTACAATTCAAAAATTCGTTATATAATGGTGATAGCATAGATTATAAAATATTGTAAACTAGTCTGTAAAAGACTAACAGTGAAGATGATATTGAAAATGATTCAAATTAAACGAATATTCGACTATCGTTGGACTAAAGAATCCGACTATTCGACTAAGCTGTCCGAGTAAAATTGACATCCCTACTGTAAAGAGAATTAAGATTTTTCAAAGGAAACGTTGACTAAATTTTTCTGAAAAATGTCATTTTAAGTTTACTCGAAATCTATTTAAAACTTTTGGTTGCAAACTTTCATTTAATCTCACACTTATAAAAGCTGGGATGTTTTACAAATGTCTACCCAATGCGACACAGAAAATGGCATTTTTGTAAATTTGTCATAAAGTGAGAGAAAAATATAGCACAGAAAAAATAGTATTCACAAGAAGTTTAGTGTATCATTTTTCAACATGAAATTTATTTCAATCGTAGGACATGATCTTCTTATTTATTCACTACAATTGGTTATTAAAAGAGGGAGCCGAGAGAGAAACTAAAATGAATATTACACGAAAACAAATGCTTTTCACAAAAGTTTAATCTGTCATTGTTGCTCATTGAATTCATAAAACTCGTGGGACAGGCTACTTTAGTTTTGTACTAAGTGCTGTGCTTTACACTCATGAAATTAAAACAGATAATCTACTGTAACTACTGAAATATCTTTTTCGTGGGTTAATATGCATTTTTCATTCCACTGTCATTCCGGGACATTTTCCTTTGTCTTCCTGATTCTATCGTAGGATCTTCTGTCTTTGGTTCTGACAACCCTTCCCCTTAGCCTTGACGTCTCCTGACATCATCCCTGTAAACCCTGTCCACTCCCTTAGGTCTCCTGAATGTCTCTGTCTATCCCCAATATCCTCTGACTAAGTGTCTTACGTCCCTGACCTCATTAAGTCATCACTTGGGATTTTTTCTTCAAAGCCATCCGATTTGTACACGTAAAATTTCAAAGAAGCCTTTTCCAATCGTACAATAAATTTCTTTTCGAAAGACACAGTTTTAAATATCCTGTATTTCAAATTCTCGTGAGAGTTTTTAAAAGCTGTTCCTAGTAGTGAAATAAATTATCGATCCCATTGAAACGCACTGACTCTTCTCTATTTCAAATTTATATTTTATGCATTATTTTTGTCATAGATATTGATGAATGTGCTGAAAATCCGTGTCAAAACAATGGAACGTGTGTGGACCTCATCAATGATTACAATTGCAGTTGTGAGGCAGGATTTAATGGAACAAACTGCGAGGAGAGTAAGTAAATTGATACCATTACGACAAAAGAAATTATTTATTACATTTAAGATCTTACAATGATGTAGATGGTTCTTTCAATAAGAAGTGTTTATAAAGTTGTACATTTAACTTGAAAGAAAATCTATGCTTCAGAACATTTTATATCCGTTGCAGCAAAAATAAATTGGCATGAATACAAAAATTATTACAGATATTGATGAATGTTCTGATAGTCCTTGTCAGAACAATGGAACGTGTGTGGACCTCATCAATGGTTATGAGTGTAACTGTGTTCCTGGATTTAATGGAACCAATTGCGAAGAGGGTAGGTAAATCGAAATGATATGAAATGACGATAAATAAAACTATTTTTCCAAATTAGTCCTCCTTAACCTATAGCATTTGTTACAGATATTGACGAATGTGCTGAAAATCCATGTCAGAACAATGGAACATGCCTTGATCTGATCAATGATTACCAATGTAACTGTGTTGCAGGATTCAATGACACTAATTGTACAAACAGTAAGTTATGACTGTAAAGTAGGGATGTCGACGAATATTCGAATACTCGACTATCGTTTGATCATACCGACTATCGACTAAAATTTCTTTAGTCGGTTATTCGTTAAAATGTGTTTTATCCAAGTGATTTTGAATTCAAGGCAATAAATTTATATTTGCTTATTTCATTTATTTATAGATCAATATTTTCATATGTAAAATTAAGGGTATGGTATAACTGTTTAAAGGAAATTATTTGTGCTTCGATGTATGTTCGACAAGCATGTCTTCAAAATATACAGTTTTGGTATAGTTTTAAAAAAAGAAACAGTGTTATCAAGGTTATGTTAAACAAAACTGGTATTCTGCAGTGTAACATCAAACATGATGTATCATATGCCGAATCAATCAAACATATACACAGTCTTCAAGTGAAATTTTCCTAAAGTAAGTTCTCCGCAAAAATGCCAAAAAAATCAGATTGGGAAAGAAAATCAAAGATGTTTATAAATGATTGTCTACCTCTTACTGTTTTAAATGGAGAGGGCAATTGTTCAATTTTGTAGATTCAAACTATAAGTTCTGACGTGATACAAATCTTAAGAAAGAATATAAATGAACAGCTAATACAAAATTATAAATACATGTAAATTGGGGTCAGTTATGAGAGTATTGAACCGTGTTTTCTTTTTCTCATATTAATTTCATACAATCATTGATTGTTTTCACAAAATTTCATAATTAAAATTTATCCCAAGCTCTCTCTCTCTCTCTCTCTCTCTCTCGTGCAGCTAATATATTAATTTTGAAATTAAATACATTGGATACATATTGATGTTCAGTTTTTATTGTACTACGTACATGTTTACAATTCAAAAATTCGTTATATAATGGTGATAGCATAGATTATAAAATATTGTAAACTAGTCTGTAAAAGACTAACAGTGAAGATGATATTGAAAATGATTCAAATTAAACGAATATTCGACTATCGTTGGACTAAAGAATCCGACTATTCGACTAAGCTGTCCGAGTAAAATTGACATCCCTACTGTAAAGAGAATTAAGATTTTTCAAAGGAAACGTTGACTAAATTTTTCTGAAAAATGTCATTTTAAGTTTACTCGAAATCTATTTAAAACTTTTGGTTGCAAACTTTCATTTAATCTCACACTTATAAAAGCTGGGATGTTTTACAAATGTCTACCCAATGCGACACAGAAAATGGCATTTTTGTAAATTTGTCATAAAGTGAGAGAAAAATATAGCACAGAAAAAATAGTATTCACAAGAAGTTTAGTGTATCATTTTTCAACATGAAATTTATTTCAATCGTAGGACATGATCTTCTTATTTATTCACTACAATTGGTTATTAAAAGAGGGAGCCGAGAGAGAAACTAAAATGAATATTACACGAAAACAAATGCTTTTCACAAAAGTTTAATCTGTCATTGTTGCTCATTGAATTCATAAAACTCGTGGGACAGGCTACTTTAGTTTTGTACTAAGTGCTGTGCTTTACACTCATGAAATTAAAACAGATAATCTACTGTAACTACTGAAATATCTTTTTCGTGGGTTAATATGCATTTTTCATTCCACTGTCATTCCGGGACATTTTCCTTTGTCTTCCTGATTCTATCGTAGGATCTTCTGTCTTTGGTTCTGACAACCCTTCCCCTTAGCCTTGACGTCTCCTGACATCATCCCTGTAAACCCTGTCCACTCCCTTAGGTCTCCTGAATGTCTCTGTCTATCCCCAATATCCTCTGACTAAGTGTCTTACGTCCCTGACCTCATTAAGTCATCACTTGGGATTTTTTCTTCCAAGCCATCCGATTTGTACACGTAAAATTCCAAAGAAGCCTTTTCCAATCGTACAATAAATTTCTTTTCGAAAGACACAGTTTTAAATATCCTGTATTTCAAATTCTCGTGAGAGTTTTTAAAAGCTGTTCCTAGTAGTGAAATAAATTATCGATCCCATTGAAACGCACTGACTCTTCTCTATTTCAAATTTATATTTTATGCATTATTTTTGTCATAGATATTGATGAATGTGCTGAAAATCCGTGTCAAAACAATGGAACGTGTGTGGACCTCATCAATGATTACAATTGCAGTTGTGAGGCAGGATTTAATGGAACAAACTGCGAGGAGAGTAAGTAAATTGATACCATTACGACAAAAGAAATTATTTATTACATTTAAGATCTTGCAATGATGTAGATGGTTCTTTCAATAAGAAGTGTTTATAAAGTTGTACATTTAACTTGAAAGAAAATCTATGCTTCAGAACATTTTATATCCGTTGCAGCAAAAATAAATTGGCATGAATACAAAAATTATTACAGATATTGATGAATGTTCTGATAGTCCTTGTCAGAACAATGGAACGTGTGTGGACCTCATCAATGGTTATGAGTGTAACTGTGTTCCTGGATTTAATGGAACCAATTGCGAAGAGGGTAGGTAAATCGAAATGATATGAAATGACGATAAATAAAACTATTTTTCCAAATTAGTCCTCCTTAACCTAGAGCATTTGTTACAGATATTGACGAATGTGCTGAAAATCCATGTCAGAACAATGGAACATGCCTTGATCTGATCAATGATTACCAATGTAACTGTGTTGCAGGATTCAATGACACTAATTGTACAAACAGTAAGTTATGACTGTAAAGTAGGGATGTCGACGAATATTCGAATACTCGACTATTGTTTGATCATACCGACTATCGACTAAAATTTCTTTAGTCGGTTATTCGTTAAAATGTGTTTCATCCAAGTGATTTTGAATTCAAGGCAATAAATTTATATTTGCTTATTTCATTTATTTATAGATCAATATTTTCATATGTAAAATTAAGGGTATGGTATAACTGTTTAAAGGAAATTATTTGTGCTTCGATGTATGTTCGACAAGCATGTCTTCAAAATATACAGTTTTGGTATAGTTTTAAAAAAAGAAACAGTGTTATCAAGGTTATGTTAAACAAAACTGGTATTCTGCAGTGTAACATCAAACATGATGTATCATATGCCGAATCAATCAAACATATACACAGTCTTCAAGTGAAATTTTCCTAAAGTAAGTTCTCCGCAAAAATGCCAAAAAAATCAGATTGGGAAAGAAAATCAAAGATGTTTATAAATGATTGTCTACCTCTTACTGTTTTAAATGGAGAGGGCAATTGTTTAATTTTGTAGATTCAAACTATAAGTTCTGACGTGATACAAATCTTAAGAAAGAATATAAATGAACAGCTAATACAAAATTATAAATACATGTAAATTGGGGTCAGTTATGAGAGTATTGAACCGTGTTTTCTTTTTCTCATATTAATTTCATACAATCATTGATTGTTTTCACAAAATTTCATAATTAAAATTTATCCCAAGCTCTCTCTCTCTCTCTCTCTCTCTCTCTCTCTCTCTCTCTCTCTCTCTCTCTCTCTTATAAGCGACACCCTTTAATTGTTAACCTGTCAAAGATCATTGACGGACAAGTAGAATTGGCTTCAGTTATGGGGTACAAGTACTACCGTTATGTAAAGAAAGGACAAATACGAGCGTTCAATAACCTGCGTTTAGATAAAATGTGCAGCTAATATATTAATTTTGAAATTAAATACATTGGATACATATTGATGTTCAGTTTTTATTGTACTACGTACATGTTTACAATTCAAAAATTCGTTATATAATGGTGATAGCATAGATTATAAAATATTGTAAACTAGTCTGTAAAAGACTAACAGTGAAGATGATATTGAAAATGATTCAAATTACACGAATATTCGACTATCGTTGGACTAAAGAATCCGACTATTCTACTAAGCTGTCCGAGTAAAATTGACATCCCTACTGTAAAGAGAATTAAGATTTTTCAAAGAAAACGTTGACTAAATTTTTCTGAAAAATGTCATTTTAAGTTTACTCGAAATCTATTTAAAACTTTTGGTTGCAAACTTTCATTTAATCTCACACTTATAAAAGCTGGGATGTTTTACAAATGTCTACCCAATGCGACACAGAAAATGGCATTTTTGTAAATTTGTCATAAAGTGAGAGAAAAATATAGCACAGAAAAAATAGTATTCACAAGAAGTTTAGTGTATCATTTTTCAACATGAAATTTATTTCAATCGTAGGACATGATCTTCTTATTTATTCACTACAATTGGTTATTAAAAGAGGGAGCCGAGAGAGAAACTAAAATGAATATTACACGAAAACAAATGCTTTTCACAAAAGTTTAATCTGTCATTGTTGCTCATTGAATTCATAAAACTCGTGGGACAGGCTACTTTAGTTTTGTACTAAGTGCTGTGCTTTACACTCATGAAATTAAAACAGATAATCTACTGTAACTACTGAATAGTTTTAAAATTTTTGAGCCTAAAGACAACTGATCGGGACTCATCGAAATGAACATCAGAACGCTGAACCACAGTATTGTAAGAAACCTTAGATTTCGCTATCAGCTCCCCTAAACGCAAGAAGGCATGGAAAGCCAGTAGGAATAATGCTTTCAATAGTTGTCTTAGATCATATTGTGGGACTGTCTTATCCAAAGCATTTATAATTTTGAATAGGATTGACTGGGTAATAGGCAGGCGTGAATCTACAGATGTACCAGATGCATGGACACCTTTGAGCAATTTTTTAATAAGGAATGACTGACAGGGGTCACTACTTCCAATGAGTTTGTGTACAAAACTAATAGCTGAGCAGTGAGATGCTATTGTTGATGGACTGTATTTTTGGTTGAATAAGTGACTTATGAAATTGGCAATAAGTACATGGGATACTGGAAAATGGAATTTGACCTGATTTTCTAAGCAGAACTTCATTAAGTACTCCCAACTTCTGCGGTAAGCTAATTTCGTAGGTGTTGATAGGGATGCTTGCAATAGGTGCATTGTATTACTCATTAAATGGTCATCAATTCTGGGGGCACTGGTGTTGGTGTTCTCTCTAACCAGGGGGCCCTTTGGAAGACTTTCTGAAATTGAAAGCGAGACAAACCATCAGCAATGATGTTTTGCTTCCCCGGAAGATGTTCTGATTCAAATCTTATATTGAACTGTAAACAAGTAAGAACTAAGCGTCGCACCAAGCGCATAATTGTTTGGTCTTTAGAGGACTGATGATTAATGATATAAGACACTGCCTCATTATCTGTTAGGAACAGCACATTTTTGTTTTTTAAAGTACTACCCCAAATTTCAAGAGCTAACACAATAGGGAACAGTTCCTTAACAGTAATGTGATAATCCATACAATCATCTGGCCATCTACCAGCAAACCAGTTTGCTCCAAACACCCCAGCAAAACCAATCACTCCTGATGCATCTGTATACATGCGCAAACTATCAGAGGAAATATGTTGGTTATTACTTATGATGCATTTCCCATTAAAATTGTTGATAAATATAGACCATGCATGCAAGTCTGCGCGGGCTTCCTTATTGAGTCTTATTTTGTAATAAGATGGCTTCTGAGGCCCACATAAGAGATCAAATAAACGGCGCAGGAAAGCTCGACCCGGGCATATGACAGAAGAAGCAAAACTCAAGGAGCCTAACAAGGACTGCAATTCCTTTACAGTCACCTTTTTCCTATGAGAGAAGTTTTCTAACATACTTCTTAACTTTTCGAGTTTCTCAGATGGTAATCTACATTCCATTGCTTCTGAATCTATTTCGAGGCCATAAATGGTGATGACTTTACAAGGTAAAACAGTTTTGTCCTTTTTGATGGGCACACCTAAAGTGGAACAGAGAGCTAGGAAATTCTCAAGATCATGTAGACACTTACTGGAATTATCAGGCCCAATAAAAAAGAAGTCATCTATCATGTGAGACATACCCTGTACATTAAATTTTGATATCATAATCCACTGAAGGGCAGTACTGAAAGATTCAAAAATTTTGCAAGAACTGCTTGCCCCCATGGGAAGACACTTATCGAAATAGTACTGACCAGCCCATGTTAACCCTAACGCGTGATAACTATCTGGGTGTAAAGGAATAATGCGAAAAGCATCTTCGATATCCGATTTTGCCATCAGTGACCCTTTTCCGAATTTCAACACAAGGGAAATGATTGTATCAATTGTATCGTATTTGATTTTTGAATGCTCTTCTGAGATGTAGGAATTTACTGAATCGGCTGATGGGAATGAGAGGTCATGTATAAGTCTGTATTTGCCAGGTGTACTCTTGGGTACTACACCCAAAGGGGAACAAACAAAGGTTTGAAAAGGTGGGGAAGGGTATGGACCAGCTATTCTTCCCAAATCTATTTCATTTTGAATTTTATCTAGGACGTAGTCAGCATGTTGGGTGGTGGATGAATGATTACGACAGAGACGCGGCTTCGGATATGCTGAGCAGCCTAAACTAAAACCAAACTTAAAACCTTGAACTAAGTAATGAGAAAGAAAGGGGTCATAACCTTGTAGGTAATACTCAAGATGATGTGTTTGTACTGGGGTTGGTAGTTTTTGATTTTCCTGATTGACGTTGGGATCGAAAGTTGGTTGCATTTTGAGTGTCTGATTTTTGCTTTGCACACTGAATTCGGGGATGTGTTTCTTTGCACAATGAACATATGTGTCTGTATGGGCAATTTGTCGATGTACATTGCTGTCCATTGTTGTAAGTGTAGCAAAACCTGATTGGTCCACGAAAGGGCTGATTGTTTGATGTTTTGTTGCGTGGAAATGTTTGATTCTGTGATTTTGACATTGTTGTTACTCTTATGATTAACTCATTAAGGGGTTGTTGCCAAGGCAGGTCTGATACCTCACGCAACTTCCTAAACTGCTCATCATATAACCTCCAGGCTGAATCACCATTGGAGGCATGGAGATGACGGACTGTTGACATGTACTTAAGCAAATTTGAGGCTGACTGTGAATTTGATTCAATATAAATTGACATGAAAGTTATAAAGGCATTTGTCCATTGATAAATGGACAATGGGGGTTTCCCTGACTGTTTTGAATTCAATTTAATTGATCCTTGATCAATTTGTACTGAAATGGTCTCCTGTTTGTGTTCAGGCAGTAAAACCCTTAGGTCAACATACTGATTAGCCCAATTTTTTTGTTTTACACGCATGGGAATAGTTGCCCCTAATGGAATACCCCCTGATAACTGCAGTGGTGTAACATTGTTATCATCCACTGCACCTACAAACGACTCACCCCCAAAAATTTTGTCCAAGGTTAGAAGAAAACTTGACTGTTGGGCTGCACCTAAACCCTTGTTATTCACTGTAGTGTTGGCTGTGTCAGGTGAAGATGCTGAAGCCGCTTGTTGTGGAGTGTCCGCATCCGTACTGGGCCCAGGGGATACCGGAAGTCCTCCATTGTCTGGTTCGGTCACTTGGCCCTGCTTCTTCAGAATAGCCTCCGCCAGTCTGTCATAATCGATTTGTGGCAGCGGTTCATCATTAGGGGACCTTTGTCTCCGCTGTCTTTTAGGGGTCTGCCCACTAGTCACAGTCTCTTGCCTTTTCTTGGGTGGCATTGCTGAAATTGAGGCATACCATAAAAAGTTTTTGTTCTAACTAAAAATTTACAATACCAATGTAGAGTTCTATTTGAACAAAATTGTATGTTAATTGCAGATGAAGACCAAATTATAGCCTTACATTTATATTGTCATAATGATTGAAAGTAGGTATCTCTAGCCGTGGATTTCAAACTAAAATACATGTTTTACAGAGATACCAAGCACAAGTGAGTGATGCCAATAGAAAACTGACACGTGGTCAGAGTTCAACACAAAAACATCCTGCTAGCAGAAAAGAGGGTGACAAATGGTCATCCCATCATGTACAAATGGCACACGATAACAAACAATGGTACAAATGGTACCAGAACATGTATAATGCACTTTGACAAATGGTCAAAATTATACAAGTTCAAACCTGCTAGCAGCAATGAATGACAAATGGCCATTCAAACCAAGTACAAATGGTACTAGGTACAAAATGAAATTGGGGCATCACTCAATGAATGACAAATGGCCATACAAACAAGTGCAAATGGTAACTGTTAAACATGATAAATATGAATAAAAGATAAATTGGATGGCAGCACTGTATGAATAACAAATGGTCATCCGAACAAAAACCAGTGCTATCAACATTTATATATAAAGTAAGATGCCCATTCTCGTACAAATAATTCCATGAGAACAGCATTGAAATGAACTATTAAGCTATGGACTATGACACCACAAATTCTAAAGAAACACAGCATAGTTTACCAATGAACTAATGCTATGACGAATGGTATTGTAACCAAGCAGACTGTACACTTTGTGCCTAGAAACAAATATCAATGCAGACTGCAGGTATAATTAATAAATGAATAAGAAATGGTAACATTCACCCAGATAAAATTGGCAGATGTATCCATTAAACTATAATTAAATGACAATTAGCCATTAAATACATATTGCTAGTCTCAACCCATGATAACTAAATTAAAATTCTAATATTGACTTTAATCTATGTAAGTAAACAAATGCTGAGTAATAGATTCATGGGTAAACCTATAAATTTGGTTAAGAGTTGTTGCACAAGAGTTTATATAGCATATTCGAGTAATATATTGTTGTGAATGTTATCATGGTTTCCAAGTTATCTACTGCTATATGATAAGGTTTTGCATGAAGCAATACACTAATTGCCACATGCGTATAAATAGAACATGATTACCAAAATCGCAAGACCGCCCTCTTGACGCTTTGAAGGTATTTCATCATCTGGCTGCTGTCGGTGCGGGAACACCTGATGTGAACACCATCTGTACTAAGGAAAGATAGGTCCTTCCAGAAACCATGGTGATGGTGAAAGGTGATATTGTCGAGGGAGGATGCCCAGTTCTGTAGACGGCAATTAGCCTCGACGACCCGGGAGTTGTAATCGCCCCTCCTGTTGCGCCGCAGAATTTGGCCGATAACGACATGCCGCACTCCGCATCCCAGAACCAAGAAATTTACATAACTCTGAATTTTCCTTATCAAGGTGTCTACAGCTAGATGGGTACTATCTAGGTCATTTCCTCCAATCTGTAGAAAAACTATCTGGGGAGGCGGATCAAATGTCGTAAATTTGGGTCCGTTAGCCATGCGATCGACAGTCAAACCTCCTTCACTGAGAAACTGTACATCAAATAAATGTCTATAAAGTCTCAAATTGTCATTTTCAGTGTTACGAGCAATAAAACTCTGCAACCGACGAATAAAGGAATGTCCTATAATCACTACGCGAATAGGAGCCATTAGAGTTTCTCTACTTTCGTTTTCACCACACCGACAACAACACAGGAAGATGTCCACAGAAAATTTAAATCGTCAATCAATATTACCTCTCGCAGGAACTTTAAATTCTCAAGTAATCCAAAAAATATTTCAGCAAATGTTTGGCCGTCTTGTCTTTACAATAGCAGTAGATATAATGATGCTACTTCTCTTATCTCAAAAGGATAAAATTACCGGGGGGGTCCCCACGGGTTAACAGATAATGAGGTACAAAGTGGGGAATTACAATTTAACATGAAATACATGAAACTTAACTTAAAACAATTTTACTAGCATAAAATATCATTTTCGTGGGTTAATATGCATTTTTCATTCCACTGTCATTCCGGGACATTTTCCTTTGTCTTCCTGATTCTATCGTAGGATCTTCTGTCTTTGGTTCTGACAACCCTTCCCCTTAGCCTTGACGTCTCCTGACATCATCCCTGTAAACCCTGTCCACTCCCGAGGTCTCCTGAATGTCTCTGTCTATCCCCAATATCCTCTGACTAAGTGTCTTACGTCCCTGACCTCATTAAGTCATCACTTGGGATTTTTTCTTCCAAGCCATCCGATTTGTACACGTAAAATTCCAAAGAAGCCTTTTCCAATCGTACAATAAATTTCTTTTCGAAAGACACAGTTTTAAATATCCTGTATTTCAAATTCTCGTGAGAGTTTTTAAAAGCTGTTCCTAGTAGTGAAATAAATTATCGATCCCATTGAAACGCACTGACTCTTCTCTATTTCAAATTTATATTTTATGCATTATTTTTGTCATAGATATTGATGAATGTGCTGAAAATCCGTGTCAAAACAATGGAACGTGTGTGGACCTCATCAATGATTACAATTGCAGTTGTGAGGCAGGATTTAATGGAACAAACTGCGAGGAGAGTAAGTAAATTGATACCATTACGACAAAAGAAATTATTTATTACATTTAAGATCTTGCAATGATGTAGATGGTTCTTTCAATAAGAAGTGTTTATAAAGTTGTACATTTAACTTGAAAGAAAATCTATGCTTCAGAACATTTAATATCCGTTGCAGCAAAAATAAATTGGCATGAATACAAAAATTATTACAGATATTGATGAATGTTCTGATAGTCCTTGTCAGAACAATGGAACGTGTGTGGACCTCATCAATGGTTATGAGTGTAACTGTGTTCCTGGATTTAATGGAACCAATTGCGAAGAGGGTAGGTAAATCGAAATGATATGAAATGACGATAAATAAAACTATTTTTCCAAATTAGTCCTCCTTAACCTAGAGCATTTGTTACAGATATTGATGAATGTGCTGAAAATCCATGTCAGAACAATGGAACATGCCTTGATCTGATCAATGATTACCAATGTAACTGTGTTGCAGGATTCAATGACACTAATTGTACAAACAGTAAGTTATGACTGTAAAGAGAATCAAGATTTTTCAAAGGAAACGTTGACTAAATGTTCTGAAAAATGTCATTTTAAATCTACTCAAAGTTTTTTAAAAACTTTTGGTTGCAAACTTTCATTTAGTCTCACACTTATTAAAGCTAGGATGCCTTACAAATGTCTACCCAATGCGACACAGAAAATGGCATTTTTGTAAATTTGTCATAAAGTGAGAGAAAAATATAGCACAGAAATATAATTTTCACAGGAAGTTTAGTGTCTCATTTTTCAACATGAAATTTGTTTCAATCGTGGGACATGATCTTATTTATTTACTACAATTTGTTATTAGAAGAGAGAGACGTGAGAGAAACTAAAAAGAATATTACACGAAAACAAATGCTTTTCACAAGAGTTTAATCTGTCATTGTTGCTCATTGAATTCATAAAACTCGTGGGACAGGCTACTTTAGTTTTGTACTAAGTGCTGTGCTTTACACTCATGAAATTAAAACAGATAATCTACTGTGAATACTGAAATATCTTTTTCGTAGGTTAATATACATTTTTCATTCCACTGTCATTTCGGGACATTTTCCTTTGTCTTCGTGATTCTCTTGTAGGATCTTCTGTCTTTTGTTTTGACAACCCATCCCCTTAACCTTGACGTCTCCTGACATCATCCCTGTAAACCCTGTCCACTCCCTTAGGTCTCCTGAATGTCTCTGTCTATCCCCAATATCCTCTGACTAAGTCTCCTACTTCCCCCACCTCAGTAAGTCATCATTTGGGATTTTTGTCTTTCCAAGTCATCTGATTTGTACATGTAAAATTTCAAAGAAGCCTTTTCCAATCGTACAATAAATTTCTTTTCGAAAGACACAGTTTTAGATATCCTCTATTTCAAATTCTCGTGAGAGTTTTTAAAAGCCGTTCCCAGTAGTGAAATGAACTGTTGATCCCATTGAAACGCACTGACTATTCTCTATTTCAAATTTATATCTTATGCATTATTTTTGTCATAGATATTGATGAATGTGCTGAAAATCCGTGTCAAAACAATGGAACGTGTGTGGACCTCATCAATGATTACAATTGCAGTTGTGAGGCAGGATTTAATGGAACAAACTGCGAGGAGAGTAAGTAAATTTATACCATTATGACCAAAAAAAACAAGAAAACCTTGATGGAACCTTCAATTGTCGCCCGGGAAATAAATAAAGTTAGCAATGGATATGAGTCGCTTCGATATGCGTTAAAAAGGTATGCGTCTAAATGATGGAGATGATAGTCGAGAATATTTTGAATACTTATAGTCGGATAAAGATCAAACAAAAACATTCATTTAAACTTTCTCAATCATCAAATAAATGTTGGTTGTATTAAATAAATAAATTGAAACCAGACACATGCATGAACTAAGTTTAAAAATGTATTTCACTTTAAGAATATAAAACACGAACTGTGTACAGTACGTTTTTATGCAATAAGTATAATTCGATTATCTAAAAAAAGGGACCTGTCTTTTTTCGATAGTAAAAGATAAGAAACTTGATATATTAAGTATGAAAAACATAAATATATTTTTACTGATTCACTTTATGGAAGTAAATATATTATGTATCTCGTAATTTATAAAGGGAAAGAAAATTCTGATTAACAATTTTTTTAATGTTTAGAAAGCCTTTAATTCTGAATAACTTCTCCCACCTCAATCCCCATACACCAACACTTAAACTTATATGTATAGAACAGCCCGGTCCTCCGGGCTGCAATTATTTATTACATTTAAGATCTTACAATGATGTAGGTGGTTTTTTGAATAAGAAGTTTTTATAAAGTTGTACATTTAACTTGACAGAAAATCTATGCTTCAGAACATTTTATATCCGTTATAGAAAAAATAAATTGGCATGAATACAAAAATTATTATAGATATTGATGAATGTTCTGATAGTCCTTGTCAGAACAATGGAACGTGTGTGGACCTCATCAATGGGTATGAGTGTAACTGTGTTCCTGGATTTAATGATACAAACTGTACAAACAGTAGGTATTTCTGAAGATACGCTCCTTATTGGTCTCCATTTTAGAAAAAAAAGTATTCTAATGTTGTAATTTCTGAGGATGTGAATATTTCAGAGGACCTTGTGACATGTTTCTATGTTATTAATGATGATGATTGTTTGAAATTATGTTCATTGATTTAATGAGACTAATTCTACAAACAAACTAAACGGTAGAATTTTACTGATCTGTGCAAATATTTTTTTTATTATTTCGTAATAATTTTAAGGACTGCGCAAAGAAAATTATCTTGCAGTACTTTGATTAAAAATATTATGAAAATTCTCAATATTTTATGAAATAGATGTGGATGAGTGCGCTTCATTGCCCTGTCAGAACAATGGAACCTGTGTTGATTTGGTCAATGAATACGAATGTCAGTGTGATGTTGAATTCAATGGTACAGATTGCTCTACAAGTAGGTGGAATTGCATGATTTTACTTTTAAAAATGTTAATAATTCAAGGCAACATTTATATATAAATTTATTCGTATCCGTCGTATGAAATGTATTTGAGTACCTACGATCATCATCATTTGCACCTCAAACATTTCAACTAATCTGTTCTTTAATGGCACTTTAAAAATATGTTTCTCTTTTGTGAATTTTTGTTGCAATTTTGCATATTTTCATTGAAGAATCAAATTTGATGAAATATAAGCTTGTATTGAATCTCGACGTAACAACAACAGAGAATCTGAGCATAGAAGAAGATTATATCAAAGTAAAGAATAAAGTTCAAGAAGCGGTAAGCATAAATATGACCCCACCTTTGCCAATTTTATAAGATTCAAACTATACATTGTATACTCTCTGTATTTACATGTTAAGGTCTGGATTTTGTTTTGTATGAAGAAAACTGTATATACATGTTTTACCATTGTTTTCGGCAAACTGTTATGGGTCAGAATAACCCTAAATGCCAGCAAAGATCAATAACACAATTTAAACTTAACAATAATTTATTTACAGTAATATATAATAAGTATATGAAACATAAAGTACAAACTTAGCAAGAATCTAAAAATACATACATCAGAGTGTCCGTTGCTGCACACAATGTCCCAGTGAAAATATATATCCCAGTTATATCTCAATATTGCTTATACGACAAAGTATAGTGTCTCTATGCATCGAATTGACAGGGTATTTATACAGTAATATAAATCTAGAATATTCTAGAAATTGTTAAAACATGATATTATTGGAACAATCTGGACATACACAAAATTTAAGAATGTTCTAGATAAAATGACCGAACATGTTGACCACTCTGGAATGTTCAAGAAACTTAATGTTACTAATTATATACATAATGAAACAATACACATCTCACAACAAAACAGTAGTTAATATAGAGTTTGTGTTCTGTTATTATTATACATGTATGTAAGAAATATTTTATAGGTGTAAAGAACAACTGTCCATTTTGTTGGTAACATTTGATGCTTATATTAACTACAATTTTGTTTATTGATCAAAACCTTTATTTTGATCAATAAAATTCAACTTCAATATACATTTGTCTTTTGTCCTTTTTCATGGCATTTTGGGAAAAGAGGAGGCATAAATATACTTTTGAATTTAAAAGCAACTAAACATTATCATTTATAACAAACATTCATCTGATTATATTTTTTAGTTAACTGATGTTTACAGTAAAAGAATCGTTGGATCAAAAGTCATAATAAAAAGCTTGAGGTATGTTTTCAAAGCAGCATGTTATTATTTTTTTAATATAGATATATATATGAAAGGATGGGTAATATTTACCCCAATAGTATAATTATTTATAATTACTCTTAAGATCTGCAGCAGTTTCCTCGAATATTAGTTTCTCCACCCCTCCATTATACATGTATATCAAAAATATATATTTGTTGCCTTGTGGATTTTTAATGATTTCAAAATGTATATTAAAAAAAAAATAATCACTCAAATTTGTGATTGATGTTATACATTTCAATATTCAAACTTGTTAATGTACAGTACGTCAAGAACAAATTTATTGAAGGATGTGTCGAAAAATCTAAAGAATAGGGGTGATTTTTTATAAATGAATTAAAATAATTTTTACCTCCTCTTCGAGGTCAAGTATCCAAGTGGGTCACTTTGAATAATAGTTTTGTTAAGTTATAAGGCCCTTATTTAATGTTATTGGGTCGCCTTGGCTGTAAATAAATTGCTTATTTCATCAAAGATTACTTATATACATGTGAAGTAAATGAAACAATAAATGTTATAAGTAAAATGACATCGGAAAAAATTATCAAATAATAATATTATGTTTACCAATACGAGATCTTTAAAATATCGGTAACATTTTTGTGCATAAGAATAAAAAAGACTGAGGATGTGTAAACTGATATAAATTGTTATCAAATATGTCGTTCACTTGCAAATTTCTAAATTAACACAATTCGAATAAGAGGGATTATTTCATCACTAAGATTTATATCGTGAACTATGTTAAAATTGAGTAGCTTAATCATTGTATTGACATTTAAGAGAGAATGTCACGAACCATCAAGCTTCTTCTATATATATCATGGAAACTTGAAAAATTTGCTTTTTTAAATGGCATTGATAGTGAAACATTTGGGATGCGCTGATAACATTTTGGTATAAAACATGTGGCCTTTGTGAACCGTTACCATGGAAACCAAGACCAAACATACCCAAGTGTGCAACCATATCGGTGAAAGTATATTTACTACATTTTTAATTTGTAGATACATAGGTGTCACATCTTATTAAATAAAAGTTAAAACACATAAGCATAGAAACTTATTCTAATATTTTTACCATTAAACATCACTGGTTAGGAAGTTAAAAAAAAATATGTTTATGCTTCTATATTCTAGTTTTGTCTTAAATAATTAAGCCAAAATAAAAATTAAATTCTTTAATCTACAACAAGATTATCTCAATCTGGTATTGAAAATTAAACAAACACTTCCTTTTCTACAAAGATTCGGCAAAAAAATGAGAAGCATATGTTGCAGATAATTTTTATGAGCAATTTTCGGAACGTTTACCTCACTTAAAGCGCTTGAAAAATTCAAAGAGTTACTTCCCTTAGCTGAATCTTTTGTGTAAACAATATGCAATATGGCGGCAAACTTGGCTGATGAGCTCTGTGTTGAGTCTGTGACAACGGGGCTACAGTGGAACAGAGCTTGAGCTGACTGGGAAGCAGACTAGTCATGTAAGTAGAACTTAAGTATACAGATTTAAGATCTAAATTCATATCATAAAAAAACAGTAACTGAACATTTAGGGAACGTAATTTGTCTGCAGACTACCAAAAACTTGGTAAAGTCTAACGTTAATGCCATACTTAGGCTAATCATGGTAATGATAATATGATTTTTAAATAAAATACATGGACTCCTGTTAGATAAAAATGTATGGGATATGACACAACATAATATCCTGTGCATATCCATTCAGTGTAGCATATCAAGAAATGACCGAATTTCCTCAGAATTTTGTGTTATTAAGTTTGTCGCATATGGATTCTTTGATACTCCAAATACTCGTAGTTTCTCTTTGATATTTTTTAGGAAATCTCTTTTTAGTTGTTTTTTACATGCAGAAGTCCATTTCAATTTTTTCCCCAAAGTTACATGTATATATAATATCCTCCAGTGCCTGGTCCCCCAGTTCCTTGGATTTTGACACCCTATGCATGGTTTTAAGTAGTTTTGGATTTCTTGTTTGTATGCTAAAATTTTGTATTATTTTGGGTCTTTGTCTTATATAAAAACTTGATTTCAAGCAGAGCCGCTAATTTTTGTTTAAGGATGAAAATTAAACAAACAAAATGTTTCTGTTTGTTGTCAACTTTAACATTCGCCATAACTTTTTAACCATGATAGATAGAGACCTCATATTTGGTTTGCACACTCCACTAATTAAGTTCTTTCGAATGATTTCAAGGTCAATGACCTTGTAACCTTGATTGTGACCTATATGCTTAAAATAACTTTTTCGAACATTCGCAATTACTTTTGAACCATAGGAGATAGAGACTTCATATTTGGGAAGCATACTACACTAATCAAGTTCTTTCAAATGACACCAAGATCAATGACCTTATGACGTAAAATTTAACCAATATGCTAAAAATAGCTTTTTCGAATTTTCACCATAACTTTTGAACCACGAGTAAAAAGATCAGAAATCAAGGGTCATAAAACATGTACACTAGATATTGGAAGCCCTTGTTAGTTCATTATATCGAGAACAACTTTCAAATTTAGTATACTGGTACTGTCAAAGAAGTAAATTAAGCTCAATGATATTGAGGTCTGACATTGATCAATTTTAATAAATTGTTTACCCTAGAATTTTAAGTGACCTATTGCTTTACTTTGATACTTTATAATTTTAAATATTGAGGGGGGTTATATTTTTATGCCCCTTTATGGCCGGGCCATATAGTGTTTGTCATGTCCGTCTTCCATCCTTCCTCCCTTCCATCTTTCCGTCCTTCCATCTGTCCTTCTGTCACACTTTGCATTTACCTCAGTGCAAAGCTTAGTTTCAAAAAAACTATCCAAGATATTTTCATCAAACTTCATATGCTGATAGGTATTGATGAGAGCTTTGCAACTGCATCAACATTTTTTGACTTGGACGTTTCCTTTGACCTTGACCTTACCTTTCCTAAATTTGTGGTAAACTTCATATGCTAATACATATTGATGTAAGCAATTCAACTGCTTTAACTTTTTTGACCTTGACCTCACTTTTATCAAATGTGTTTAAGTCAGTTTTAAATAAACCATTCATAAAATTTTTTCAACTTAATATGCTGATACATAATGATGAGAGCTTTTCAACTGCATCAACATTTTTGACCTTGGCATATCCTTTGACCTTGACCTCACTTTAAAGAAATTAGTGTCAAACTTCATATGCTGATACATACTGATGTAAGCAATTCAACTGCATCACTATTCAAGATATTTTGATCAAATTTCATACACTAATACAAATTTTCATGTGCCATTACTAATATACCCTTGAAGGGGCATTCATGTCCTATGGACATATTTCTAGTTTCATAAATTTCTTACTTATTTAATTTTTTATTTTAACTATTTTTTTTCAAGACATCAGGAAAAGAAAACACTGTTGTACAAGACACAATTAAAGAAGATGGAGGCTCATCTGTAAATCAAGAACTCACAGTTCATAGGATACCTTCCAGCAGTTATTCACAATCATCTGATGGTGTAAATCCAAGCACAAATACAGATGATTTTGATCAGATTGTAAGAAGCAATTTAATTTTTTTTGTTACAAGTCTCTTAAAGGATATTTTTACTTATAAAATTATTAACTTAAATATCCTTTTTTTTAATGTTATATATACATACATGTATATTCAAATTTTTCACAACATTTACAATAAAATGAATTTTATAATCATTCAAGGTGAGATAACATAACATATCTGTCCAAGCTTATTACCAAAAGTACTGAAGTTATTCCACATTATTTTATCACTATACATAAATAATTTTGTAATAATTGTATTCTCGCCTCTTATTGGTTGATTTCCAAAAAGGAGCACAAATTATTCTGTATAATTTGGTTTAGTATGGGGACACACCCCCTTGACGACCAGCTGAATCATTCGCATCCATTCAATCCCCTCATTTTCAGTCCTCGGGATTCATGGAAAATTCCAGATTTAATAAATGTACCTTTATCGTCAAAAAGTAACTCGATCTTACCACATGTAAACAAACATCATTGCTGCTAGTTCTGTGTATCAGTTATTACCTCCCCTTGTTTCCCATCACTTCCGTTACTATGGTTGTATTATTGAGCGGCAAATTTGAACTCATAAAAAGCAGCACAATTTTACATCCACATTTGTTTATTCTAAAATAAAATTATAAGGAATGACTCTAATTCTTAGCCAAATTATTCGGGTATAACCTGGTTTAGCCAAATTATTCGGGTATAACCTGGTTTGGGTCAGTTTACAATTTTTTATAATCCCAAAGCGTAAACTGACCCAAACCAGGTTATATCGAATAATTTGGCCAAGAATTAGTCATTCCTTAAGGAGAGTATCAATCCAAGCAAACTTTGTGCCATTTTGAGGACCATGTCCTATTGATAAAAGGATATAAAATTTTCAATTTTGGTTAAGTTGGTGTCTTACAAAGAAATTTTCTTTGTAGACAAGTGCGCAATTGTCCATTAATTCACAAGGCAGCCTCTGGTTACCAAGCAGTCAAGATACATATGAAGAAGAGGAGGGAGGTGATCACCTAGAAAACATGAATAACAAGAGGAAAGCTCTAGACACTTTCCTGCAACGTTGTGGCCTAAGTCCAGTAAAGAAGCAACTCAGAACAGATTGGAATGAAGCATCTGACCGTACAAAAAGTGATTATATATCATCAGCTAAATCAATTTTTCAAGAGGTTGTGAATGTCCTTGCACCAGGTCAAGCCTCTCTTCTGCTGGATGCTTTATTGAAAACTGCTTCAGATTCTGCTGACACCAACATACTGTGATTTCTTTCAAAAGCCTATAACCTTTCTACTGACTGGGGAACACAAAGACAAATTTTGTCATTATTTGCTCATTCATACTCAGTGTTGCTATGGTCAGATATATATTGCTAAGGAAAAATATGATTTTTTTTTTTAAAATATTAAATTAGTGTAAAATGTAATCAACTTATCTATTAAAAATTTATATAAACAATTTTTAAATGAGTATGAAGTTTATTAAATGAAAAAAATAGATCAATTTCTGTCGTAACACTATACTGTTGCTATGATCTGATTATGGTTGCTAGACCATTTTCAATTTGTATATGCTGTATTGTTTTTGTTATCAAATTCTTTTTATTGGATACCTATCAATTTTAAAGATAACCACTCTCTTAATAATTAAATTTTAGCAAAATATTAGAGAGAGAGATTTCACTAATTTGTTACGACACCTTTCACCATCCATACTCCTTTCCATAAAGTTAGTGGAACAGTGTCCTTGAATTTGCTTCTTAGTTTTATTTATAACTATGGTAGATCAACATCTTAGACCAAAATTACATAAAAATTGCATCTAAGGATGCACACTATTAGATTATCCTTTTGAATTCCCATAACTATTCTTTTGGAGTATCATCAATAGTTTTTATTAGGGATGTCAGCGAATATTTGAATTTTCGAATATTCATTCGATGAGTTGATATTCGAATATAAATTCATGATTCGAATATTCGTTTTTAATCATTAAAAAGAAAGAAAAACCTGGCAAGTTTTATTATAAATTGAATCAAGTTTGTAAAAAATTAAATGACACTCCTCTTGGATTACCTTAAAGGTGTAAATAGTGTATCTGTTAAAGTAATTCATTAATTTATTTGTGACACTTAATTAGTGGTTTAATTGTGCCAAGTACTTACAATCAACTTGTATTGTTGTTAGGACACAGTTTTACAGTAAACACATGGACCCCTTGTTTATGTAAATATCATAAAAATAAATTATCAGGAAAGTAATCAGCAAAAACTTACAGCTTTTAATTTTTCTCCTTATATAATTTTTCTGCTTAGTAAAAATTTATAGGAGTTATCAGTGTTGGCTTTATTAAGACGGTCAAATAATCTGAAACATACGAAAAGAATCTTTTGAATTTTCAAAAAAAAAAATCATTACATTTTGTATGTGTACATGTACTCTTCATATAATAGATAATTAAAAATATATAATTGTGTTAAAGTAGCATTTACCAAACTCTACATGAGTTTTTATTCCAAGATAAAACCTATACTGATTGACAGAGGAGTGAAAATATATATTTTATAATGCAAGATATATTTTTTATCGAATATTCGAATATATTCGAATACTCCTATCGAATATTCGAATATCAATTATTAACAATTTTGACATCCCTAGTTTTTATTGATAATTCATGAATAACAAAATGTCTATTCAGCTCTGTTGCTATGGACCTCATTTGGTTGCTATGCACAGAATATGATCAATGTCTAAATTTCAGTATATATATTTTTTTTTTAAAGAAAAAAAGGTTTTTCAATTAATTTATACTTATAAAACATGTTCTCCTCTATTTTTTTGACATGATGTTTCGAAAATGTCTTGGTTGCTATGCAGTAAATTTGGTTGCTATGGGCACGTTACAGGATTTTTATCCCAAAATTTCACTATATTTATTAATGATGCAAGAGTATGATAGCTTTTATACATACAATTGTATCAATTTGGAAGAAATTTAAAATTTTCCTAAAATATTGGAAGTGAATTTTAAGCATTCTTTAAAGAAATCAAACATGAAATTGAACAGTTTTCCCACAAAAGTAGTAAAAATGCTTCTCAATTTTTTATGTCAGTCTTGAAGATCAACATGTATTGTGCAAGAATAAAATTCATTTAAATGCTGAACCTGTTGTAGATTTTATATATATTAGTTTTAATTTGACAGGTAAATATTTAAATTTTCACATTGTTCAACTATATAGTATTTGTGTTGCCATGGCAACAGATGCATGGGTATTTAAATTTGCTTTGAAACTTTTTTGTACACTATATATCTTTAATAGTTTGCATAAAGTCTGTTGTGGGTGATATCAGTATTCTTTCTGTAAAAATATTCTTCCAAAAATGTTAAAATTTAAGCTTTTTTTCCTTCACTTACGGTGGTTTCCATGGCAACACATAAGAAGATGGATAAATAATAGTTCTGTTGGTCAAATATCATTTTCATATATGTGAAAGTTGTGTACAATGAACACTCTTTACAACCAATATAAGAAAACAGGAGGTTAAAATTTTAAGTTTCCATCTGAAGCTTGATGATTCGTGACATTCTCTCTTAAAACATCTATTATTATGCATGTTTACATTTCTAGTATTTAAAATAAGAAATTATTTGTTTATTTAACAGGAAAGGCAGCTTAATTGTTGACTTTGACCTTGTCATACCAGACAGTCCAACATCAAAAGTACTCGTCGTTGATACCGTGTATAAGCTTGTGAATGGTCTGGTATTTGTCAACTTCTCGGGAGAAGTAGTCAACATTACCAGTGCTACAATACAGCATTCAACATACGGCGAGGGTATTGAGTTTTATAGTTATTTCGATATACATTTTTATAGTGGGAAAGATTTTTTTTAAATTGAATGTTAGTCATCTATCAATCTATCTGAAACACGAATACAACATATACAGAATTAAGTTTGAATTATTTCTCCTGTAGAAATTACAATATAAAGATGTTCCTGTTTCTTTGTAGTTATTATTACCAACTCATCTGATGGATGTGCTGTTGTGAACTCACAAGGAGCTTGTGATGCGGGATATAGATGTCAAGAATTCATCAATCAGACAGTGGCTTGCATGTAAGCATATGAATGTAACAATTGCTAGAGATTGCGAAGAAGTCTTACTCATTTTGATATACCAGCCTTATGTGTTCCGACCTAAACAAATCAGGGCTTTTATATAGCCCCCATTCAGAACTGAGACAGAAGAAGTTATGTTGAATTTATTTGCAAATGTACTTATGATGTATTATTGATAATCTGTTTAATTTTCATTGCAGCCCTATTATAAGTAAGTATAAATGTTTTCCTTGCTTTGTTTTATGCGATATAAAGACTGCTGTCATAAGTACAATTTTTATACCTTATCCTAGATATTCTATAATTGGAAAATAAAACTTTTTTGAAGAATAATATATGCAGTCAAACTATTAATATTTTTTTGTTTTTGTTAACTTGTTTGTGTTTTACTTCATTATATTTTCTAATTAAAACATTTATTTTTTTTTATAATGAATGAAATGGTGTGAATGTGAGTTCCATACATGTTGTTTGTTTCTATGTGCTTAATGTGTTCTATGTGTATATTTTTGAACTTCCATAGATGTTATTGTTTTGAATAATAAGTTGTTATTTATGAATTTCTTTATATATCGATAATTGATCATTATGCATGTATAATACTTATGATTTTTATCATGACTTGAGTTCACAGAAATTTTTACAATTTATTTTCTAATTTCAGATTGTTCATTACAGAGAAGGACCAGTGATAAATTCTCTCACTTAATAATTTAAATTCATATATATATTTGTGATATTTGCTTTCCAAATGAAACTTCTATTTGACTGTTAATGAACTATGGATTGCTTTTATTATTCAGTTTCATTTTGCATTTTAACAGGTCTTGGAACAGTGCTGTTGTGAGAAGATAATTGTAAAGAGAGCGCCGGTTGCGTAATGGACTCTTTTTTCTCCAGTGCTTTTAAATACATACAAAATTTATACTGATTTTTGTTGTTTTTGTTTGTTGTTTTGCAAAATTGCAAATAAATCAATTTTTAAAATGTAGGTATTAAAAGGTCATATTTTAAACCGCAGAGAGAGAGAGAGAGAGATTTCCTAATCCATTTTGTACCTCCGTACATGATACAGGTTAAAATGTCAAAGTAAACCGTCAATTGTAGTAGTCAGTTTTCAACTTTTAAAAATAATCAATTGGCATTTTCATAACTTGTATTAAATCTTTAGATCTAAAGTGCTATATATACTCGTAAAGGACGTATTTTCATGTGATTATGAAATTCAGTGGAAGTAAACGATATTAAAATTTAAATGTTCAGTTAAATGTTTTATTGACCACAAACAAAAGCTTTTACACTTACTACACTTATTAATGATTAGTAAAAGGAGAGGAAATTAACAATGATAATGAAATTACTTATTAGATAACATATAAGAAAAGTAATAAATTCATTATTTAAAAGGTAGGGTTTCCTAAGGCTATTTTTTGGCACATAATGAATTTCAAATTAATTCCTTTATTTATGTCCAGTAATGTTTCCTCTGTCATATTTCTTAATTTATTTGCAAAACCAACATATACTAGTCACGTGACCAAGGGGTATCTAAAGGGTCCCTCTAAAAGCGTCTAAGAGGGTTATGAAGATTTACTACTTGTAGAAGACTATTCATTGTGAAAAACCCTAGAAAGATTAATTATATATCATCAGGGAACATGGAACAGGGCTGAAGTAACACAAAAAGTTAACTAATTTAATATTTTTTGGGAAAAGAACTTCTGTAATTGTAGCCATAAAAATTCAATGGAAATTGTGAACGCTTTCTTATTAGACATCTTTGCTACCTATAATAACATAAAAAAAGGTATGAAAAACAATCAGTTATAAAAAAAAAAATAAAAAAAAAAGCTTTCAATATTAAGATATATCATATATTGAGACAAATCATTTAACCCCTTCCATGGCAAAGATTTTAAGCATTTTTAGACTTTATATTAAGATTTCAATGCATTTTTGGGGGTATTTCTGGTAATTTTTGTATATACCAATGTATATATATTCTGAAACCAGGTATTGTGTTGTTTCTGAAAATCATTATAAAAATTTCATTTCTGTTGCCATGGCAACGAAATACACCATAATCATGCTAGAATTTCCATTTATTAAACAATGATTTTCATTCTTGTTTTTTGCATAGTTAAATATATAAAAAAAAATATTGTATTGTTGTGGACATTGAAAATTATGAACATGTTGTACATTTTTTACAAACCAATTTTAAGTACTGTATACGTACTTTTTTCCACGGGGTCATAATTCCGCGGAATCCCAATTTCTGTTTAATCCGCTGGTAGAAAATTACGCGGATTTTCTAGACTGTCACTATAAGTCTTACATTTATATTAAGTTCGCTTGGACAAATTTCCGCGGAAAATTTGTGACCGCGTACATAGCGTAAATTAATACCACGCGGAAAAAAGTACTTCTACAGTATTTTTTTTTGGGGGGGGGATGGGTAGGATTGGGATGTAAACATGTACCAGAATTTAGCATTTTTACATATAATGTGTTACCCCCACATTGATTTCGAGAATGGCAAAAATGCTCAAATAGTGATCAAAGTTTTACTCAAACTGGCAAAAAACTGGTACAGCCAATTAAGATATTTTCTGTATATTATTTTTCCGTATTTATTTTCTCTTTCCAACGGTGCAAGATTTACTCTGATATGTCTATTATTAACAACGTTATGAATGTTTTTTCACACTTTACTTGTTCTTCAAGTCAGAGGCGTAGAAATGCGTATATGCCATGTAAGGGGTTAAAATATAACTGTGTTTGCGACCCATGCATGTTCCTACGCATTATAAGTAAGTACATCGATTTAATAGTATTTCGTTTAGATTGACACATAGGAAGTGTAGAAATCTCTTATCAATAAATTGTTTTGCAATACTAAAAATATTTTTTGCGATAAAAAAAAAACTGATTCTGTAAGTGTATACTGTACACAGGCATTAAAAATTTATAGATATTGGATGCAAGATCTGAGATGTGTCTTTTATCAAAATTCATTTTATATACATTCATTTGAATTCTAAAGATATATCCTTTGATTCCATGTCCGTACCCATTTTCGTGTGAAACGTATCTTAATTTTTTTTCAAAATGTTATTGTAATCGCATTTACATGTGCCCCTTTGAACTTGCACAAATGACCTTGGATCAAGGTGTAAAGTATTAATTCTTATGTTCCTCCGTAAGAATGATATGAACAGGACACGTTTGCACAGATAGATGGACGAGGCGATTCCTATACATACCCCAAAACTTGGTTTGTGGCGGGTATAATGATAAGACCACTGGTTATTTGGGCAATAGATTTAGAACAGACCAAGGCACAAACTGCATCATCAACACCTTGTAAAATTCAAATTCACATTAAGTTGAAAGGAGCTGGTTACTAAAGGTTTTGGGTTTTTGTAAACAGAAAAAAACGTACGTTAAATCTTTGAAACGGCAACATACCCAAATCAAGAAACTTTGACCTTGATTTACATTAAATAATTAATATTGTTTATGGTGAAACAATAAGTCTGACCTTGGTCTGTATATATTGAAACTACCGTCGCTAGTGTCAAAGGTTTTGGTTTTCCTAATAAACAGACACACAGGCATTTTATAATATAATCAATTATTTTTCTTTTGTATGATTTTAATACAGGTATAAAAGGACAAGCCAGTACTAAATAGTAAAACACCCACTCTGATTGACTCTCGTGAATAAATCTCACAATAACATGGCATGCCTAAACAAAGAGTGTACTAAAATTTAAAGAAACTGCAATGAGTATTCACTGAGAAAACCGTGATGGAAATTTGGTACATACAGACACACAGATAAACAGAAAGTTGACATTGTATTCATACAAAAATAAATGTCACCTTTTGACATGCAAAGCGTGTGTTAAAAGCCCCAATCATCTACTATGAGTAGTTGCCAAAAATATGCAAAGAACATTTGTTACAGACAGCTAGACAGACACACAAGGGTAAAAAAGTATACCCTAGCTCTCCTTCAGAGCTAGGGTGGAATTATGTTATAAATGTGTATGATTCACTTTAAGTGTTTGAATAAAATTAACAACAACTCAACAGAGTGCAAAATTTGCAAATTCATTAGTATTTAAGTGTGTGTTGCATTGCGAACCACAACCATATTTTCAGTATAATGTGTCTGTACATATAAGTAAATAATTATCAAATTATGGTTTTGGTTCAGAATGCAACACGTGGTGTACTAGAAGGTTAAACATCATAACCCTCCAACATTTTCCCATATAATCAATGTTAAAGCAGTTGAGGGTACCATACTTTGATCGTTTATTCCAATATTATCCTAACCTTTTTCTTACAAAATAAATACACAGCACAAAATTAGACATGTTGAATATAATGAAAGTAAGTTTAAAATTGTTGGCAATCTCATTTCATTTTTCGCATGGGCCAAAAACAGCTTTGTGGAAACCTCTCCTTTATAGTTTTATGATAGTAAAATAAATTCTATTCACCTAGGCATATTTGTTAATTTATTAATAATTTTATAATTAGAAATTATAAATTGTGCATCTTTAATACGCGAGTTTTGAGATTGTAACTCTCCGAGAAAAGAGGCGCAAAAAGTATCCATTTCAGCATGGAGGTGGGACAGGTTGTTTCTGTATACATATGTGCATGAATAAATGAACGAGATTTATGGCTTTTAAAATTTATTAAATGTTATAGAAATATAATAATGTTAAGCAGTGATGCATTTGATGGTTTTATCAAGCTCAATTATGCATATTTACAAATCTACTTTCAATCATTGGGTACTTGAAAACGAAAGAAACGTCGTAGTCGTTATAAAAAGTAACTTACAAACATTTTCTAAAATAGTTAGTTGTTTTCTTTTTTTAGTTATAATAAGAAAAAGAATCAATATGTCATTTAAATATTGCCCATGTGCGATGATCAGATGCATGTATACCGTATTTATTTGAGGTCCATATCTCTTTC